GCCGGCTGCGCCAGCCCGGTCCTTTCGCCCCACTGCCCCGCCCAGCCCAGCCCAGGCGAGGCGAGGCGGCGCGGGGAGAGCGCGCGGCTTCGGGCAGCCCAGCAAGCGGGCGCGCACCGGCGGAGCTCACCTCGCCTGTGGCGCCAGGCCAGCCGGCCACGGGCGTCGGGCTTTTCCAGGTCTCCCCCCGACCTCCCCCGGCAGCGAGGCGGCTCACGGTGGCCAAGATCACCGAGCTCCGCCCTGGCAGCGACGATGGGAGGCGCAGAACCGAAGCGGACTTAGGGTCACCTGCTGGTGCGGAGGACGGATCGCAGCGCCCGCAGGCAGCGCGCCGGCAGCCGGACAGCGACGAGGAGCCCAGCTGGCAACGGGGACGAGCTACGAGGAAAGGAGACGGCCTTGCCGGCTTGCGGCCTTAGCCTGCTGGCGAACGCGGCCAGGGGCGGCTGGCTCAGAAGACCCCCAGCTCAAGAAAGTTGGGTTCATGCGCCCCCGGCCCACAGCGGAGAACCGCTTTGCTTCCGATTGGGAAGGGCGCAGGAGAGCCTCGATCCTGCAGCGCGAGGCGAGGCGGAGGCTGCGCCTGCACTTAGGTTGCAAACAAGCAGAGCCGAAGTTAAGTCCCTCCCGAAGAGTTACCTGCGGCTCGGACAGTTCTCCAGGTCAGGGAGCAGCCAGAAATCTGATCCGGCCAACAGCTGTTGAGTCTCAACTTGGCAACGCGAGGGTGCCAGTCCCGGGTTTGAATGTAACCCGCACAAACCGAAAAGCATTTTGATCGTAACCCAAAAGCACTGAAAGTAACCCTGAGCCCAAATACATGGGCTGTGTTCACCCAGCATGCTACTGTTTGTTGAATCATGATGAACTGGGTAAACCACAATTGGCTGGGTTCAGATGCCTTATGGCTTAAGGTGTGTGAATTCAGTCTTTGTCTTGCAAAGGATCCCTGATCATTTCTTGGTTCTGCTTTTCTCAGCTTCAATTGCAACTTGGTTTTTAAAGTATATATTTCTTTCCCTGCAAATATAAATGAATAAACAAGGGTCTCAGGCATAGTATCAAACAGCACCCGAGGTTTAAACTGCAAGAAGATTGTTTGAAATCTTGTGGAGTATAAAAAAGGTGTCCAATTAAAATATTTTAGAAAGCAAACGCACCGATCCAGTTTGTCTTAGAGAACTGGAAATCAGGCAAGTTTTAATGGCTGCAAGACTAGAGGGTTCGTCTGTGTTGCAGATATGTATTGCTTTTATACCCATCCAGCTCTCCCAGCAAGCAGTCTGCATCTTCATCTCTGACCAGGAATCCTGGCTTCTTTAGCCTGATGCTTGCTTGTTGCCTTTTAGACGTCTTTGAAGTTCATTGATGGGTTGGGATGTTCCATTATTTGGCCCAAATTCTGTAAAGCACCCCAGACAGTTTTTATATGAAAGGACAGTTGTCCTTTTATTAATTGATAAACCCAGAGAATAATACACAACTGGACAAGTACACTTTTTAAAGCCCATTCGTTCAGATTAACCTCCACTGAGTGTGTCTGCTTCAGTTTGGTGAACATTTTGTTGAGTTCTCTTACCATGGATTCCCCCATCATGCAAAGTTATCAAGAAATCATATCTACAAATTGCCATGGCTAGATTCACACATCAGACTCAGGTTTGTTAGACTGTGGATGAGTTTGAGTTTTTCTTGCAGCAAATATGACCCAGTTAAACTCTGCAAATAAGCTGGTGGGGCATTTGGAGAGAGATTGCTCGTGGGGATTAAGGGCAGCTTTCTGGAGCATTGCAAGGTTAGCACTAATTATTCCTCTGAGCCCAGGAGGACAATTTCAGTAGTACACAGCCAAGGGGAAACCCTCCTGTTAAAAACATGGCATGCGTGCTAAATTTGCACCCTTTGGGGTGCGAAGAGTTGTGGGGAGATCCCTAAAGGCTAGCAACAGTGAGAAGATCCAACGTCCTCTTTGTATTTATTCTAGAAGAACGCAAGAACACTCATCATATCCAGAGTGAAAACATTTGTTACGTTCTGTATTTAGGTCAGTTCCTCTGAAACCCATGTACCTTTGAATGTATTACAGAAGGGTTTTTTTAGGAGCTAAAACAACAATTCAATATTACCAACATTTTAAAAAAAAAATACAACAATCGTTTTGGACAACATCCAAGACATTTGGAATAGAGAACTGAAGATTCCTATGTTACAAAACCAATGGTTTCAAGTCCTGGGGAATGTTAAATATATTTGCTATGATCTAAAAATAAAGTTAATTCCACAAAAATTCTCTGTCAGGTGTATTGGTCTCGGAAAGGGAGGTTCAGAAAAACGGAGTTATCACTCTCATGTTGGAGATGAAACGTACTGTAGTGCATATATTCATCATCTCGGTGGTTAGTTCCTTACTGGTTGGATATTATGACTATGGTGAACCAGGTTCTTGAGGAGCAGAAGATAAAGGTTCAACAGTGTTAATGGATTGTTAAATTATAGTCTAGATATTTGGAATGTGTCCACTTATGAAGAGCTCTGGATACATCATGCTCAGTCAGTTGCTGAAAATATTGTTTTGTATTCCTGGAAGGACACTTGTGCGTCACACACCACAGACTGTCAGCTCTTCACCTTTGAATTGGCTCTTTATTGGCAGAAAGGAAGCACCAGACAATATGATTCCATGCAGTTAAGGTTTAATTGGTTGTTGAAACACTGAGCTGTAGCAATGTTTATACAGATGTAATTACTATGTCTGTATGCAGAAAAGTAGGGGAAAAAATCAGGTATATTGTTCCTTTGCTTGTGTTGTTCCTTTTGCAGTGTTTAGATTTTTGCATTTTCTTTCATTTGACTTGTATTTGCAGGTTTTTAAAAATATTTTCATTTGTAGTTGTAAGAAAATGAATAGCTGGAAAGGTGTTTTTTTTCCCCCAGATACAGAAGTTCACTCTTGAGCAATGAGTTCATGAAGCAATTCGAATCCCTTGGATTTGCACTGTGAAGAAATAGACTTGAGGAGACCATGGTAGGATGCGGTAGTAGAAATGTTTGACTCAGAAGGAATGGCTGCTTCCAGGAAGAGCAGACACACTGGCTCAATGTGATGTGAAATTGCACCCTCTGGAGGCACAAACCCTGTATACGTTTACCCAAAATCAACTGTCTATGATTGGCAGGTAGCCAACCTGTAGCTTAGCCGGGTAAGATAACAGTACCAGAAGTCTGGTTTCATGTCCTAATCTTGACCATCTGACAAGCATCTCTTCTTTACAACCAGAGTTACCTGCAGTGATTCTTTGAATCAGGTGGAACTCTGGCTGTCCCCCAGCTTGGCCACCAAAACAGAATGACCCAACCCTTCGTGCCTCAGATCCGTACTTCACTATAATCCATTTTAGCAGCCCCCTTGGGCAATGGCCTTTGACTGGATTGGCAGGGCAATCTGATTTTAGAATTAAGCCCTTCCTCTTGCATGTATCTTTTTCACAGGCCATTTCCGCTGTCTTTGTCACGTTTCTTTCTTCTGGAAGAACATGTTTAGTTCTAGATGTGACTCTGGAGCTGGGTCATGAATCCAGATCTGGCACAGAAGGTGTTGCAAAGCTCAGCAAGTTCCATTTGCTCCTTGCAGGTTGGGTGCAACAGGCCCCTTGATGTCCAGATTAACTTACTGGAAGATGTCTGTTACTCTTGGCGTGACCTTCTCTGGTTCTTTCACTTCTCCAAGCCTGGTATTTTTTGATCGTTTTCCTCCTGGCGAAACTCAAGACGTCCAGCATAAATATGAAAGACACTGCGTACATAGCTAGGATTCCACCCTTGAGTGTCACAATTGTCTTGGGTGAATTCATCACGGAATGCACAATCCATGCTCCCCCAAAGATCCGCAGCCCCAGGAAGAGAATCACAAACAAGAAATCCACCACATCCCCAGTAAAGCTGTGGTAGCATCCGCTCTCTCGCAGGAACCAGCGCATTTGCAACAAAGGGTTGGTGATCTCGCTCACAAAGATGATGGCGCTGATTTCAGCACCCGACTTGCCGGTGTCCAAGGCGAGCGTCATGCCGCACATGCAGAGCATGTGGTGAGAGAGCATCAAGTCACTCTCGCTGATGAAGAGGATGCACCAGCAGAAGTCAAAGATGAAATAGCCTAGCGACAGGCAGATGACAAACACTTGGAGTGGTGTGTTGAGGTGGCCTAGAAATATGGTAAGTTTAAAAAAAAAGGCAGTTCAGGGTTTTTTTAGATTTTTTTTATCCTGCCTTTATTATTTTAATAAATAATTCAAGGCAGAGAACATACCTCATACTCCTTCCTCCTCCTATTTTCTCCATAACAACAACCCTGTGAGGTGGGTTGGGCTGAGGGAGAGGGACTGACTGGCCCAAAGTCACCCAGCTGGCTTTCCTGCCTTAGGCAGGACTAGAACTCACCGTCTCCTGCTTTCTAGCCTGGGGCCTTCCCACTAGACCAAACTGCCTCTTTTCTCTCCTTTCTGAAGATCCCAAAACAGTGAAGTTGTAGATTTTAAAACTGGTTTAATTTTGACAATCATCCTGAATCTTTAATAAATATGCCAGCTGAAGTTCCATACCCATTCCTTGAACCACTGTCACTCAAATCAACCTTCTGCCAAGAAAACATCCTTCCTTGCTCAAAGAAAACTGTGGGGAGTGGCATTGAACATTCCATCTAGGAATCCAAATGTTGGAGTCTAGAATTTAAAATCTCTGTTTTCAAACTTACATTGGGGCAGCGAGCATGTGAATGAGTGACTTGGCCATACCTTCAGTTCCACGGTCCATGGGATTTGATATTTCTCCCTCTCTTCCTTGGCACTAACTGCACTAAGACTCGGTTTGTTTTAATCGTTGGTTGTACAAGCCACAACTGGCTGGGTTTGCACAACTTCCTAAGCTGTAAATTATAGTTTACACATTACAGTGTTCAGGTTCAAATAGCGTATTAAGATGTAAACCTTGTTTTGCAGTCCACAGCAGTTGGCTTCCTGTACTGTGGCACACTAAGTTAAGCTAAGCAAACCACATTATTGCTTAGCATGGCTTGTTATAAGCTACCATGAATCTCGAAGGATAAAGTGGCATACAAATAAATAAATAAATAAATAAATAATAACAGTACTAGAAGAATATGGTTTGCAGCTGCATACAAATTATTGCCTTGAATGTCAGCATTTTTATTTGCTTTGTTGGCTACTTGTCTGCCTTTATTTATTCCATTTTTAGACTATTATAATTCTGTCAAGATTAGATATCTGCTAAAATGTCCAGGGTAATTATAAAGTCAACACGCTCGGTAAGGTTACTTGAGCAGAAGTAACGTTTGGATGAAGAGTTCTTGAGGACTACAAAGCCTGTATAGTATTTTGCAGCCTTGAACCAAGTTATGGTCCTTCTGTCCTCCCTCAGTTTAACCCCCCCCCCCTTTCCACGTGCTGCTTATTCCTGATACTCCATCTGTGCCTATCTTTATGTTGCAGCCCCTTAGGGGTTGGACACGTGTGTAGAGGCACATTTTTTAAGAAACAAAAATCAAACCTTCATCCTTGATCCTAAAGTGAATCATCAGTCTTACACACTGAAAACTCTCCTTGGGGCAAATTAAGGATGTTTATGGAACTTCAAGGATATTCAAGCTGAAACTCAACATTCTCTTCAGCCCCACTCCCTCTAGAAACCCTTTGTACATCAAGCCTCCTCCTGCTGCCTTCACATTCCTGATTTTCCTCTCCATCCTCACTGTAACTCGAAAACATACTGGGCTATTCCATGCTGAAAGGGTGGAATGACATGGCTTCTATTAATTTCATACCTCTCAAAATGCGGGATATTATCTTTGGTGCCACTGCCCAGCTCTTATCACCCCTGGGATAATTACAGGACTCCTACATGCTGATAACGAACAGGATTTGCAAATGCTATCTGTGTTGTATGGGGCATGGAGCCAAACGGCTTAGAGTAAGACTTTCCACCAAGGGATTTTTAGACCCACAAGGCTGGCAGGTGTTGCATGGAAAGAGTTCAGGTTCTAATCCTAGCTAAGGAAAGCTAAACGAAAGGCAAGGGAGGGCTTGTGAGGACATTACAAAGGAGACAACTTCTTCTATAGCAAGACAGAGCCAACATCTAAGCCCAAGAGAGCAGGACAAGAAGCGGTAAAGGAAGGAGAGAGATGAAAGATGGATGATCACTTTGAAAGAAGTAGCACATTACTTCCTCAGCTTGCCTGTGTGGCTCACAAGCTTTTGGTATGTCCTGGAGAGGAACTGGTTTCACTCGCAAAAGGAAACCTCCAGGCCTTATCACTGAAACTGGGTTGGCCTCTTGGTTGGCTAAAGGCTCAGAACCAGTAAACAAGCATAGCTTCCCCCAAACGTTATATAAATAGATAGACAGGCATAAGGACTCCTTAGGTGGTGACTGGCTTGACGCCAAAGGTGGTGTGAGTGTCAAGTGGTGACCTCAAAAAACATCTGCCTTCCCTGAAATTCTTGGGATTCATGCTTCAGAAATGACAGAGATATCCTTGACCAACTTGTCCCTGCATTGTCTCTGCTATGTACTACTCACATGCAACTATTACAGAAATCCCAGTATTTAACTGACTCACCAATGCCTATATAACGTAATGAATAACAGGGCCTAGATAGCAGAGAGCCACCTTCAAATCCCTACTTAGTTATAATCCAGCTTGTGGAATAGCCTAATGGCAGTTACTATCTCTCTATCTTTCCCACCTTGCAAGGCTGAGATGAGAAGTTTCTGGGGCACTGGGAACAGAACAGTAAAATGTCTGAGAGCACTGCATGCCCTAAACCTTTTAGGTTGCTGCTAGAAGCTACAGCCAGTGCTTCATGCCAGGGTGGGCACAAATTGGGAAAAAGATGGAGTAGCCCCAGAGGGAATCTGGGTTCTAGGTAGCACTTACAGCTGTCCCTTTAAAGTAGCTTGAGTTGTGGGTTCTGAAGGAAGAAGGTCTGATCTTCCTTTTTACTCTGATTCAGTGTCTTCTCCTTACTGTGGTGTTGAAAGCAACCTTGAGCAAAGGGGACTGGTGTCCACTGGGTTTCTCCATGTGATTGCAAAATGAGGGGAGGGGAGGAGATTTTAATATGTCTTTTTAACGTATATATATTTAAAAACTACATAAATCTGTTCCAGGGTTTTCACTAGAATAGGACAGTCACCTTCAACGAGGGCTGTTCCCCATACCAGCTAGAAGGTTCCAGGGCACATCGGTAAATTGTGCCACTGAAATTTGGTGGCACGAGGGCCAAACTCTGATGTTATGGATTCAGGTTGTTGCGGGTGGCTTGGAGGGAGACTGAAGAGTAGAAATAGTAGTTTGCCCCCCAGAGGCCTTCTGCTTCCACTTCCATCCTTATTTTGGGAAGGAAGAAACCCAAACTCTTGCTGCATACAGTACTTTCAAAGGAGAAGCTATTTGTCTCCTTCCACAATTTCTCTGCAGAAAAAGGCAACAACAAATCATTTCAGTCTTGTTACAGAGAAAACAATATGGACAGGTACCTGGAGTCACCAGCAGATGAACTGGACTTAAAGGACACTTAACTTACTATTTTGCATCATTTATGGAGTCCCTGTTAATTACAGGAAGAAGCGAGAAGCTGCTGATGCCAAGCAGAGACAAAAAGTGGGAAGTTTCTCTATACCAAGCAGAACAGTGTCGGCAGAGCAGGGCTGGAGAATTCATATGAGCTGGGTGGGAGATGAGACTAAAATGGAAGCTGGTGCATTGATGGGAGCAGAAGCAGCTGATAAAGTGCAGGAGGAGAACATGTGGAGATCAAAAAGGTCACCTGGATTAGGAGAAGCAGTGACAAATGGGCAAGAAGGCTAAGGACCAGGAAGTTTCTATTTAAATGAATGACCATAAGTTAAGTCATTCCTCTTCTCTCCCCCTCACCTTGCCCCACAATAGTGACACAGGCCTACTTCTGAGCATAAAGCAAGAGTTACAAGATGTCTGGGAACCCAATAAAACATTCAGAATCAAGCTGTGCAAAACGTTTGGAGGGTCAATTTGGGAAGCATCCACATGAATCTGCTGCTTGGAGCATAGTGGCCTTGTATCTTCTCCAAGGCTCAGCACAGCAGCTTTGGGGCTTCCCCACATCTTCTGAGCATGCCCATAAGACACATCTGCCAGGCTGGTTGCCAAAATGATTTCTGCGCATGCTGTTGATGGGTACGGGGCTGGAAACAGCCATGCTGTGTCTTGGAGAAGACAAGGTGCCTCAGTGCTTCAGGGACCAGATTTGACCATTTTGCGGTGTTACTTTGTGTAGTCCTTGTTCCAAGGCTGAGATAATGGGGTTTTAGATCACACTCTGGCACTATGGATGAGGGTGATCCAACAGGGCTTTTGCAGTCATGCCAGTCTCATGCTCCTTGCTTTTTCCAATACTCTGGCTGAGCTTCACCCACCCCTTCCTACCTGCGTGAGCCAGCGGCCAGGGACCATCCATGAGGATAATGTAGCCCGAAAGGAAAGTGACAATCAAGCCATGCAAGAAAGTGACCATTCGACAGCTCCATTCTGGACTGCGGTGCTTGTTTCGACACCAGAAGCCAGCGTAGAGAGAAAGCCAAGCCAGGATGCCACAGATGACCTGGAGAAGGATGGAGGCCATGCTCTTCTAGCTGAAAAAAGAGAGAGTGAGAAATAGTATTAGGCACGCTAGCCTAATGACAATGGAGCATCTTGTCTTGTCTAAATTAGGTAGACCATTTTAGATTCTCTCCTTTCCTCCCATTCTCCTTCTCTCCTATATTCTTTCTCTCTCCCCCTTTTCTCTGTCTTCAATACTTAACCAAAATAGATAGACAGACAGACAGACAGACAGACAGATGACAATTTTTGTGCTAGAAGTTCAGGCAGCCTGGGTCTTCAGTCCACCAGCTGGAAACCAGTAAGTTAGCAATCAACTTTCCAAAATCTCTATGGCCATTCTATGACTTCACTCTATTCTATGACTTTCTATGACTTCCATTCTGTGACTTTAGTTTCTTAGTTTCCAAATCCCCCATTATTTAAAAAAAAATGTTATACACAGTTAAAATATCAGGGAGTTGACCGCTGCCCAGGTACTCACAAGCAAAGTCCCAAATCCTTGAAACAGAAAAGATTACAGATCCAGAAAACGGTTCAGTAGTCAGCTAGTGGCCTCCTCGGTTATTGCTTGTTAATGAAGTTTTGGAGTCCCCAAACACCAGCCTGTCTGCAAATCCTCCTCCTCCTCCTCCTCCTTCCCCCACAGCTCCGAGAACAGTTGAACCTCCAAGCCTAGCGATACAGAGGTGGGATCCCTCGACTAGGAGGGCACCAGCCTCCTGAAACGAGGACCGGATGGTTTGTGTGCATTGTGCCTTGGTTTTCCTTTTATAATGACTACTTCTGTCAGTCACCAGTCCAAACCAGCCAGATTCTTTTGTGATGACACTTCAGAAGCATTTGGGTTAAGTGCTTCGGGCTGGCAGTAACTATTTTCCCAGTGATAGGAGTTTCTTTCTGTCTCTGCTGAGGAACTAGCAGCACCATAGCTTTCTCATGACACTACCCTGCAAGCACTTCACAAAATTAGCGCAGCATCAGGTGATGTCCAAAATACCTCTAAAAAAGGGAGGATGTCTAGCTATAACTGTAGTTGCTCTGAAAAGTTATGGCACAGCTATTCCATCTTAACAGAATCCTTCCTTCCTTCCTTCCTTCCTTCCTTCCTTCCTTCCTTCCTTCCTTCCTTCCTTCCTTCTCTCTCCCCTCCCTCCTTCTTTTGGGGGGGGACAAGAAAATTGATGGAAGAACTGGCAGGAAATTGACATTATTTCAAATGAAAGATTTGAAGTCTGGATTCTTCATAAAATTCTTTTCTTTGAAGCATCATCATTATATGATGAAAGGTGCATCTAGAAGTAACCAAGAGTTCTTTGTTGGTACTTGGAGTTCAAATAAAAAAATCCTAGAATTGGGGGGCGGGGGGCAGGCTTGAGGCCATTTAGCCCAACCGTCAGCTCAGGGCACAAATCCAGGTCAAACACCCCTGTCAGATGGCAGGTCAGCCTCTGTTTGAACCTGTCTAGTAAAGAGGAGTCCCCTACCTTGCTTGGTAATTGGTTCTAACATCAAACTGCCTTTAACATTTAACATTTAAATGTTACCTCATTTACCTACCTAATGTTAGGTACATTTCCCAACGTTCAGTTGGTATCTGCCTTCTTGTAGTTTATTCCTGTGCTCTGCTCTCTGGGATGATGATCTGCTGTTGACCTTCTTCTGGGTGATATCCTTCCAGGTATTTGAGGAGGGCCTTTCTATCCCCACTCACTCTTCTCTTCCCCTATTCATCCATCCTTCTTCACGGGACTTAGTTTCTAGTGCCCTGGCCATCCTGCTATGAAATGGGCCCTGTTCATCTGACTCCTTAAAGTCTGATGCCCAGGACTGGCCACAATATTTGACCAATGAAGAAAAAAGTGGAGCTATTACTAGGAGTGTCAACAGGGTATGATTTAAAAAAAGAATCAAGATGGCAGCCACCATGTGATACACATAAAAAAAAAATAGGGGGAGCTTCAATTCCACATTGCAGTGGCCATCTTGACATTTTTGAACATATCTTGTGGGCATTCCTGACTATTACTTCCTATAATTTGAAAACTGTCTCTTAATGCAGCTTGAAACTGTATTTCCCCTTGGGCAGCCCCATCACATCATCTGATGCATATTCAGTTTTGATCAGTTACTCTACCCATACCTATTTTCACAAATTTGGAAATTCTAGCAGGGGAATCTTGTGTATCCTTGACTGGAGAATGATACGCTCCCATCCAGAACCCTTTTCTACTGAGCATGCAGCTTTGAGAAGGGGGCATATGAGCACTATGGGAACAAGGGAATAGCCACCCAGCCAGCCCATCAGCTAGCTCAGTGGTTCTCAACCTTGGCCACTTGAAGATGTGTGGACTTCAACTCCCAGAATTCCACAGCCAGAATTCCACACTCTGGCTATGGAATTTTGGGAGCTGAAGTCCACACATCTTCAGGTGGCCAAGGTTGAGAAACACTGAGCTAGATCAACCTGGCAATCAATGCAGTGAAGGTCATTGCAACAGATCATCTTCAGATCCATTGATGGCCCTCATCTATCCTGGCCAGATAGCCCTTCCCTCAAGGACTCAGTTTCCCAAAGGGTTAGCATTTCATCTGCGCCTAGAAGGCCAACGTTTCAAGCTGGTAGAAAGAAGTTGCTGATTTTCATTGTAAGTCCTTGCTAAGCAGAAACAGCAGCTTGGAAGAGAAGGGGATGCATGCGCCATCCCGATTAACTTACTAGTGTGGTTTGTCATGTCTGCTGCCCCCTCCATCTAGAGATGGCACAAGTGGAATCAGCCACTTCTCCCACATGGTACAGAAGACAAGCAGCAGGGATTCAAATGCAGAGAAGAATCTCACTCCATTTCCTGGGATTTATATGACCCTGTCATCCATCAAGACTCTTCACATTCAGGTAAAGAGGAAGGAGAGCCGTAGGCTCCATTCTTAACTATGGGTCATCTGTAAACCGGGCACTCTTATCTCTGTTTGGATGCCTACTGCTCCTCACATTAGTTGGTGGTATCTCTGCTCCAAACTCTCCCCCCACAGAAAAAAAAAAAATAACATCCTTCAAGTCCTTCAAGAAGAGTATTTATTGTATTTATCTCCCCTTCCCTCCTTCTTATACCTAAGAGAGTCAAGGCCTGCCAATCGTCAGTATCTTCTTCACTCCTTCCTCCCATTCAGGACCAACCTGATGTTTTTGTAGTGGCTGCCACAGATTTTCTATAAACTTATCTCCGTAATCTTCTACCCTATGGACTACAAATCACAACCTTCCCAGCCAGGTAGTCATAGCAAGGAGCCAAGAACTAGAGAGAGATTCATCTCCTCCCAGCCACCGTAAGTATAGCTCGGTCCCATGGCTTCTTCTACAACCCACACCCTATTTTTTGGTAACCTCCACAACAGCAAAATGTAAAGCAAAGAAAGCAAGCTGAACTTCTCAAGCTGCTGGACCTCATATTGAGTATTAGATACCATTGTGCTTAATTACTGTTATCCTTATATTAATAATATACTTAATAACACTGCATTTGTGTAGTGCTGGTAATGAACTCCCATGCTGCTCAGTTTGAATATGGCAGTGGCATTTATAATAAAAAAAAGGTTTGTAAGTTTGTGAAATGATGTCCTGTTGATTAACTGGGATACATCAGATTCAAATGATCAGGAACGCATCTAGCGAGAAGGCGCGATCCTTCTGGAGCGGGTGAACATTCCAGTGTGACCTGCATTTCTAAAGGGCGTGTCAGTTCATGACAATGAGAGCATAGGAATGTCCTAAACTATTTTTCCAGAACACCATTTGATTCCCCCCCCCCCGAGCATCAGGATTTCCTTTGTCAGAGTTTAATGGTTAAATTAGGTCTCATCACTGAGACAAGTTGGAACTGAAGACACTATTTTGTCCTGCAAATGGAGCAAGATCCTCCCTCACCCCTCACCTCCTGCTGGAACACAAACTCTTTCCACTATGTTATCATGAGTTCACGGGGTTGTCGCTGCTGGAAAAAAAGGTTAATCCGATTTGAAGCTACATTGATAAGAACCGTCATCTCCAAGATGCAAGAAATAAAAACTCCAGCTAATTCTGGACTTGTCAGAATTCCTCTAGAGCAGGATCCCTGTTCGGAGTGACAGATTTCAGGTAGGGAAAGATTTCAGATCTGGGTTAATTCGTGATATAAAAACAACTACGACATGGAAAGTTGAAAGAACTGGATTTGTTTGTTCTGGAAAAGAGAAGAAACCAGTTCTGGAGGTGGGGATGGTGAGAATGTTCACTGGATTCATTTTCATGCAATGTATAACCCTGATTAATTGAATCATGGACTGGGTTGACTAACTGGAGCTAAAATTTGTGATCTTTGCTTTGTTGTGGGTCCTCAACCATCATCATTGCACGTTGTGGAAATCAGGTCATGCGATGAAAGGGATTATTACTTTCTGCATTGTAATAATGGTGGTTTGTTAAGCCAGGTTTAATGTGTTGTAGGAACCCGGCTATGTTTTACTCAATTAACCCAGTTTTCTGGATTTGCATGGTCCAAAGAGCCATCATTGAGTCACATGGGCTAAGTTTACACAGTACAGTAGAGTCTCGCTTATCCGACATAAATGGGCCGGCAGGACGTCGGATAAGCAAAAATGTCGGATAATAGGGAGGAATTAAGAAAAAGCCTATTAAACGTCAAATTACGTCATAATTTTACAAATTATGTAAGCACCTAAACATCACGTTTTACAACAAATCAACAGAAAAAAAAACAATTCAATGACTTACGTTAACACGCATGTAAACACTGCACAGTAACACACAGTAAACCGATCCGCATACAAACTACACTGGGCGACCATTGGGAAAGGCGAGACATGACCGGCACGTGAGTCATAGGCTAGACGCGCGCGCCTGCTGCACCTGTTGCAATCGATTTTTGTGTTGCGGCGCCGCACCGTCAGGAGCAACAAGAAAGAGTACACTCACGCTCGCAAGCGAGCGGCACACTTTTCTCGTCGCCAATTTATGCGTGTTGTGTTTTTTTGAGGGGCGTCGGATAAGACGGAATGTCGGATAAGTGAAGGTCGGTTAAACCAGACTCTACTGTACTTAGGCTCAAGTGTAGTTGGTTAATGTGTACTTGTGAATGTGTTGTGAGAACATAGCCCGCAACTGGAGACTAAGCTTCACACTACAAACTAAACCCAAACCAGGCACGTTGCATCAGAGCTGGGTAGCGGCACGCTGCATTGCGCCACGATCCAGGCGATCAATTCTTTTACCATCTTCTCTTGAATGTCCAATATCCATTTCATCTTCTTCCTTCCCCTTCTTTGTCTGGTGTCATACAATGTTTCACCAAAGCTAGTGGCTACATGCCCACAAGGTATTATGTGTTAAGCTTGGGCTTCCTTGTTGTCTGAAGTGGGGCAGGGAGTGTTGGCTGAACTCAACCCACTTGACTAATTTATGGACTTGGTCTCAAAACCAGACAGCGGGTGTATCTAGCAACTAGGTTTAGCATGTATGAACGAAGCCCATGTCTCTCTCTCTCTCTCCCCTCCTCTGTTTTCCAAACTTGGCAACTTGAAGATGTGTGGACTTCAACTCCCAGAATTCCCTGGCCAGCATGCTTTGCTGCTCAATGATGTCTAGAACTTAAAGGGGCCGCTCAACAGTCTCTGTGAGCTCATATATCACACTAAGCCATGGCTAGACTCACACCTATTCCAAAATACAAATTTGTAGCCCTGCAAAAGCTAGCTCAGAGACTCGAGGCAAGGTGATGCCGTGCTAGAGATATGTAGAGCTCACATCCGGATCCGCTTGGTATCTGTCACCTGCCTCCTGCTCCTTCCTGAAGCCTTAGGCAGATGTGTGGGAGGGGAGCAGTTTTCAGGGCGTGGGTTCAGCTTCCATGAATCTCAACTCCTTCTCGCTCACGCTGGGGTTTCAAAATGTGGCCAAACTTCTACTGTGGACACCGGGAGTGAGTGCAGATATCTGGCCCCAGAAGAATCCAGTAACTCTAAAGCCCCTTTGCCATTGTTCTAAGTAAAATGGAAAAGAGCTTTGGACCAGAACAATAACATATTATAATAATATATTGCTTTTTATAATATTTATAATGTAATGCATTATAACAATATATAATAATATACTGCTTTTTAATGACAGTTTTTAAAAATATGTTTGTTGCTTTATATCTTCGTGGTAGGCTGCCCAGAGTCACTTTTTGTGAGATGCGTGGCCATAAACGTTTGATAAATAAATAAATAGATAAATCAAGAAGTATTCATCTGAGCCCCAGCCCATTTTGTTACCCTTGTTCCTGTGCAGTTACATGCTTTTCCCTCCCCCTTTTTTTTTTTAATCTATTGAATTCAACGGCCCACTCAGTGGCACACGTAAAGAAATACAGAAATGATTCTCCGGTTTTATGTTTTAATCTGATTTATTGCTTGGAAGTAAAAATATTGATTTATTTGAGGTCTGCTTTGAAATCTGGAACCCCTTCTTGCTTCTGGGACTCAAGGCAATTGCCCTGTTGTGAAGGTTGTGACGCCTGGGCTGGGAGAATCCCCATAATTGCTTGGAAAGCAGAAAGGGTTAGAGCAGTGTTTCTCAACCTTGGCCACTTGGAGATGCGTGGACTTCAACTCCCAGAATTCCCCAGCCAGCAT